GAAGAATTGATGCCGAAGCATTTGTTACAGCTCGATCAACAACCACAAACAAATTCAACAGCCACTTTGTTGTCTTTAAATTCCCCTAGCAAACTGAGTAGTGGCTTGTGGTCAGTTTTTAACTCAAAAACTCTGCCCCAGTGATTTTGGTGAGTTTTTTACGCTGAAGATAACAGCTAAGGCTTCATGCTCTAGCTGAGCGTAATTTTTTCCGCAGACAAAAGCAATAGGTCGTTCACTGAAATCGTGCATTCTACGTAATAAAACAACGCCAACTCCCCACGGGAGTGCATCACAGTGGACAATAAGAGGCTTTTGGGGATCAAAGTGAACCAACACTTCAGATACCTCAATAGTTTTCTTAACAGCTTTAAACGCCATTTACTGTTCCTGTGTCCATTGCCACTTTAATATTAATAATAATAATATTAATAATTGTTTATTTCGCGCAGCCCCGTGAAGCATGCATGGGTATGATCAAATGTACAACATAATCATCCGTATACAAGAAGCCCAAAAGGGAGAATTCGAAGGTCGCAGTGAACATAATTACAAATGGAACACAAAGTGGACAAGGTATCAGAGAAAAGGGTTCGGGATGGCGGAATGCTCTAGAAGAGAAAGTCGGTGGAAGTAGGACGAAAAACAAGAATCGTTGTACCGAATGAATGTTGAAATGATTGGAAATACGACAATCAGTGAGTGAAATAACAACAGGCGGCCTGCAGATCGTTGGACAGGGATGAACGTAAACCGGCACAAGGGCGTACAGGATGAAGCAGAACAGAGTGAAACTGTCATAGAATATATATGCAGTTCACGTAGTGAAACAGATCACTTCTGTAGGGTCTTGATCAATGGTCTCAGGTGCTCAATCAGCAATGGATTGATTTGGGTTATTTACGCTATTTAGGTGTTGGTCGCTTTCATGTGGGACTGACTACACACTAGGCACCCAACCTTAAAACACCTTGTAGGTGAGGCAGGGGGCGCGATCCTCACCCTGGTCTGGAATGCGGAGGCATGTAGTCAAAGCGGTGGACACAGCCGCGCCCAACAACCATTACCCGTGCCAAATTGTCCATTACGGGTGTACACCTCAAGCCTTCGTCAGGTCCAAACCAGCCTAATCTGGAAAAGTAAGGTAAACATCGGCAGTCTGGGGTAATAAACAGTTGAGAAAGGATTGAAGAGAGAAAAAGTAAGAAGGTAACGACGAATTTCAATCGGGGTGGGTGCTCAGGTCATTTTACTGGTAAAACGATGTTATCAAAATATGTGTTGCTCTACAGATCCTAAACGGAGGTGGATAGATGTATTGTTAGAACATCAGTTGAGAAAGTGGACACTGCTACCTGATTAGCATGTGCCACGTAGTTCAGTCAATTGCATCAGACGAAATGGAGATCAAATGGATATGAAGAGAAAAATGATGGGTCACACTAGTTATAAACGTATGTACCAAATAGATTATGTTCCAGAGATCCAGCTTCAAAGTTCGATCCTTGTACTCATATGAAATTGGTTGAGACAGCTACCTAGTTACCATGGTACCATGTCAAGGAATGGAGCCAAATAAGTCGGAATTAAATGCAACCACATTGATAAGAAGAAATTATCACCAGGTCACAATACGTATAACAGTATGCACCAAAATAGTTCTTGTTCGACAGATCCAGTTTCGAAGCGGGATACGTGTACTCATATCAAATTGGTTGAGACACTGCTACCTGGTAAGCGTGAGCAACGGAGAAGCGCCAGTTGACTGAGACGAGGTGGGAGCAGATGGATATGAAGAAACGAATAACGGGTCACAAAACTTATAGAAGCATGTTTCAAAGTAGACTAAGTACCACAGATACAGCTCCCATCCTGGATCCGTGTACCGATATCAAATTACTTGAGAAAATGAACACTGCTACCTGGGTAGCATGTGCCACTGAGTGGACCCAAAGGTGTCGGATGAATACGCATAAAGACAGATAAGAGGAACGGAATCATGGGTCACAGTACATATGAAAGTATGTACCAAAGTCAATTATGTTCTGCAGACCGAGCTCCCAAACTGGATCCGTGTACTGATATGGAATTGGTTGAGACAGTGGACACTGCTACCTGGTTACCATGTGCCACGGAGCGGAGCAAATTAGGTAAAAGGAAAACGTGCACAGATAGATATGCAGGAAGCAATAGTGGGTCATATTACTTCTAAAAGTATGTACCGAAGTAGGTCAAGTTCCACAGATCCGTCTTCGGAGTTGGATCAGTGTATTGATATCAAATGGGTTGAGGAAATGGATGATGCTACTTGGTTAGCAAGTGCTACGGAGTGGAGCCAAACTAGCCAGACAAAAACAGTAGCATATCGATATTGAGTAAGGAATGATGGGTCATAATACTTATGAATGTATGTACCAAAGTACATTGTGTTCCACAGATCAAAGTTGGAACCTGGATCCGTGTGCACATATGAAATTGTTTGAGACCGTGGACACTGCTACCTGGTTAGCATGTGCCACGGATTGGACCCCAATTTGCCGGATAAGAACGCATTCAGTTAGAATCGGTTGCCATTTTGCAGTTTTCAGCCTATAGCGATTTACGCAATTAGCCTCGGAATAAAAGTAACCAACAATTTTTTGCTTTGACTTATCATGTTTTCGTAAAGGTCGTTCGCTGGCTATTCAAACGCTGTCAAATGGGTAATTCATCTAATTCTTAATATGCTTACAAAGAATCTTTCCCCAATGCTCAGGTCAGGTCAAGTCCCAGGAATTGCGGCTGATGACAATTTGAGTCCAGGTTCTTGTACCGTAAGCGTATCGTTTACCTACGTGTGCTTCGACAATAGAGAATCCTTTGCTGAATTTTGGGCCCGTCGGTGCAAAATTGGCCAACTTTCTGGTTCAGATGCGACTTCTGCAGCTGATACAGTTTAATGCGAAAGGGAAACGCCTAATGAATAAGAAAAACCGAATACCTGCAGTCTTGTTATGCCCCTGTGTGAGCGCTCAGAGGGACGAGGCAATTCTATACCCCAACCGGTTTCCCAATTATGCGGGGATTTGAATATAACGGACAAGGTGCTAGAGAAGCCTGTGCAGAAGATATACGGTTGATCAACCTCCTACGGGGAATTAAAGTACATGGTCCCATGTTGTTAGTCCTATTTATCGTCAGGGAATATACCAGACCATGCCTCGTCCAGCTGGTGCCAAAAAGGCCCGAGGCTCCGAGCAGAAACCACTTGCTGAGGAAACCGGTAACCGGTTCCACGCATTGATCGTCCGATGCGAGAAGAACTGAGTTCTAAAACTCCTTGTTGCTCTGGGATTTTTCAGTTTAAACCCGTTGCCCATAGAGTTGGTGTTGCGGCATGCGTACAGCAGCGGACTTTCTGTAACGGCAATTCGAACAACGTTCAATACGAATTTTTGCAACTTACGGACCCGACCAGCGATATGCGTAGACCCGTGAACTAAAGGAACCGTGCGACCAAGCGGTAGGGTAGCGATCTCGAGGTGCCCGACTGCGGTACCCGAAAGTGACACGGCCAACAACGGTAACGATAGTAGCGACACGCGGGCCCCTACTATCCCCGGAACCCGACCAGGTAGAAAGAGGAAGGCAGGCCCCCAGGCGAGGTTGTATACTTGGCTCGACCCGAAAAGGCGATGAGATTGGACAGCTTAACCGTTTATATACAAATTGGGAACCGGCCGTCAGTGACCTTGTAAATTAGCACAAAAGTGATGCGTCAGAGAAAAACGGATCAATCAGGGACAGGATGGCCGGTGGTGCGAAATGTGTCTATCTTGGCGCGGAAATTCGGAAATTTAAATTTTTTAAAGTAAAATATAAAAACGTGGGACAAATAGGGGAGAACTAGGAGAGAAAGTCCATTTTATGGTGGAAAATAGGGTCTATTCATCAAGAAACGCGATGCCCCGAATTCCACTGACAACATTCTAGCCCGCACGAAAACGGTTGAACGACATTGAAAATTCACTGCTGTTTAAGGCATACATGAACATAAAATGCCATTGACGAAACCGTCGTAGTCCCAGTTACAGAACGACAAACAATAGAGAAAATCGCAGAGCAAAATCGCAAAGATACCGAGCGGGTAATGATGAG